GAGTAAATGCATGTAAAATTCTCAATGGGACCTACTTTTTAGATAAGGCAACTCGCCATGTGATTATGGAAGAAATAGAAATTTTAGTCCCTTTGAAAGCCACTATTTACTCCCACGGTTAGCCCTTCTGTGTCCCAAGTTCAACATTTTTATGATGAACCTTAAACATGAAGCCATTTACTAGTTAACTACAACTTTCAGCTTTGCTTTGCAATGACCATGTTTAATAAAGTGAATTTACCAGGCTAGTTAAAAAGCATTGCAAATCTACTTGTTTTCTCATTGCCTGGAGATAGAGCAAGATAGGAAAGTTTAAAAAAAAAAGAGAGAGAGAGGCCTCCCGAAAAACCCCACAAATGTTGGTCTAGTTGTGTTTTTTTTCAACTTTGCCAAAGCTACAATGTAAGATATTTTATTTTTTCATTCTGTTTACTGTTTTAAAATCTGATATTCCTGACTTCGGAAAATTCACAGTGGACATTTGCATAAAATTAGCATCCTTCTTGTAAAGTGAAAGTGTTCTGTTCAAGGCAAACTAACGGTGATTCCCTAAGATAAAAATTAAACCATTACAAGTTTGGCTCTTGATCAAGCCAACACAAGTAGACTCTGTAGGCTAGAATTAATTTTTCATCTTCAAATAATTCTACTCAAATATAGAATCATAATGAAATAAAAATTTCTTCTGACTCAAAATGATGCCCTGCCTCATCCCCTACCTTTTGAACTGTCAATGCCATCTCATCTTACCGTGTATTATCTTACAATAAACCTAAAATCAGATTAAACACTGCTTGGAGATGAGATAAGGGTCGTAGTGCTTTCATTTTACCTGAACTAAGACACTAGTGATGGGGAAACAATGACAGGATGAAATTAAAAATCAGACAGGGGATGACAGACCTGAGGAGTTGGTGTTTAGGGACATGGACAGTTTTGAGGAATGTTGAAACTATTTTTTTCTCCCACCATATGAAAAAAAATGAAGTTTATGGGATGCCTTGCACCATACATAGGCCTCAACCAGATAACAGACAGTCAGTACACACTAGTTCTTGTGGTGCTTACTTGCATCTTCACTTACAACAAAGGGCAAATAAAGCCCAAGATGATTTTGTAGCCTGGTCCTTCCAGACTGGGCATGTTGGGAGAGCACCATTTTCACGGGGAACTTGGGAGGAAGTTTCCAGAGATTCAGAAATCCTCTTCTTTGCAAGAGGATGTACATTCTGATCATGATCACGTTTTCAGGCCTTCTCCCTTTAGAAGGCAGTAAATCTAAGGCTGCCTCAAAATCCTCGCTTCCTTCAAGAGTATCTATATATATAAAAAGCCAGTGCCCATAACACCAGAACAACCCAAATGACCGGTCGCTATGACGCCCACTGAGACCAGCAAACCCGCCGAATCGGAGGTGGGGCCAGCCGACCAACCACCCGCGTCCCTGCCCCTAATCGGCCTGCCCCACCCTGAATGGCCCCTGCAGCCCCTCTTCCCCTCTCCCCTACCCCAATAGGGGGTGGGGCTGGCCGGTCAACCTCCTGCAGCCCTCGCTCCTGACCGGCCCCACCCCAGATCGGGCCCCCCACTCCAATCAGGGCAGGGCTGGCCAGCCAACTGCCTGCAGCCCCTCTCCCTTTCAGGACCCAACCCGTGCACAAATTCGTGCACCAGATCTTTGGTAAATATATAACCAGTTTTCAAGTACTTAAGAAGTATTTGAATTGTGGAGTGAGTAGTCAACAAATTCTCTCACCAAAAAGTAATGATGATAATGGGACAAAATTATCAAAACCACCATTTCAGAACTCTGAAAAATAATTAGAGATATACAACAAGTTGACAAGTATTGATTAAAGAAAAGCAATCAAATCTTGATCAGAATAGTGGGTGTTGTGGCGTTTATATGTGGGGCTCCTCCCATCCCTGTCCCTCTTCCCCAGCAAACCTCCACCCCCCGCCCCGCCCCGGCCCCCCCCCAGATCGGGCCCCCCACTCCAATCAGGGCAGGGCTGGCCAGCCAACTGCCTGCAGCCCCTCCCCACAGCCGGCCCTGCCCCCTGTCGGCCACCCACCCCAATTGGGGCCAGGGCCCGCCAATCAATCACCCTCAGCTCCTTCCCTAAGCCGGCCCGGCCCTAACCGGGCCCGATTGGGGTGGGTCAGCCAGCCAACCTCCTACCATCTCCTCCTCACAACAGGCCCAGCCCCGACTCACTTGGATTGGGACCCGCTCCAATTGGGACTGGGCTGGCCAGACCCCACCTGTGCGCAAATTCGTGCACTGGGCCTCTAGTAGCTCAATGAAATGCCAAGGCTCTGAGCTCACTGATAGACATTCCTATGGTGTCCAGAGACCTGCCTCGCAATATTGACTTGAGATTCTATATTTGCAAAGAAATGTAACTTTAAAACATCTAAAAAATTTAATTGGAAAATGTCAAATTTTGTGTTGATTCCAGGAGGTAAGTTCCAATCCTAGGACATAGCAAGCCCTCTCTTTGGTAATGAGCTTTGATTCTGTGACAAGAAAAATATTCTAGTACAAGCCAAGAGTGGAAGACTATTGTTAGAAACGAGTTATGTAAATTTCTGCCACATGGCTTTCAATTCCATTCATTTGAATGCATTTAAAGAGGAATGGGATGGCTCTTGTGGGTAAAGTCGTCTAGAAACGTGCATTTACAGTGCACCCACAGTAAATGCAGAAGAAATTTGAATTTTACTACTGACATACATGCATTCTTTTTCATTGAGAAAGTCACTTTCATAGCACTCAGAAAGGTCCATTTCAGCCAGGAAACTGGGGAACTATCTCCTAATTTAAAGCTCCAGATATAAAAGAACCCTCTTCTTGGTGAACTCTGGAGTCTCTGAGGCTAGAGGCCGAAGCTCAAACTTGGAAATGTAGTTTCCACACAATACTGTCATGGATTATTGGACTTAAACAAAAGATAGATATGTGTCATCTTTTTAAACAAGATCCACTCCTGTTGTGAGCAAAGGGCAGGTGAATCCAGTAGTTCTTTTAGGGCCAGCATTACAAATACGCAGGGGCCAAGAGGTTTTCTGAGATATTTAATCAACGATCACAAATAAAGCACCAGAGAATTTTTGTAGAAATACCTGGAGAAGGCCCACGGGAAAGCAGAAACAAAGGTAATGGTAATGGGAGCTATTTGTAAGATCTTGCAAATGCCTTTCAGTAGGAAAAAAAAATACAGTCTCATGTTTTACAAAAACACGTAATCAGTCTTTTCCCTAAAGAGGTGTCTGAGGTACCAATTGCACTGTAGTATCCTAGTACATTCTAGTGAGGATGTGAACACAGTGAGACTCAGGACACTGCTGGTTATTTTACCTACGTTCCGGTACTTGCTCACAGCAGGAACCTGAGGTGAAGATGTTCCCCATAATTGTAATTACAGGACAAACGGAACATGGCAGGTCATGGGGTTTCCTTCCTGTAAATTACGGGAGTTTGTAAAAAGTGGAGTTGAGGACACAGAACCTCCACAGTGAAGTCATAGGCCCTCAGAGTGTGCCCCTTAGCTCTCCTTTTCAGAACACCAGAAATTCAACCATCGTTTCTAAGACAAAATCATAAACTGTGAAGCTTCTAAGAGACTCGGGCCTGGGCATCTCTAGAGAAGAGCCTGCATGTGTTGAGAAAGATGTGGTGCATTTATTAGGGATCTCTACGTTCTGCAAATGTCAGGCAGGGCTCGGCTCCATCCTTACCGAAGGCCATTTTATATCATTTCAGCTCGGGCGGTGCTTATGGTGGAAGCGTCTAGATGGATGACATGGCTTCTTCTACTCTAAAAATATCCCTATAACACTTTGAGCTGTTCTGATTCCTCCAGGGTGCATGGTACCTATTAACCCAAACTATGATCACTTCCCTTTTCTCCCATTTTCAGTCTTTTTGGAATGTCCCCTGTGAACCACAGACACATTGTTGAGAGTTTGCAGTTCTTCCTGTCACCAGGGAGATTGGCCCCTGGTGTCTGTGAAGGCTGCTGTTCAATAAAGCTGTGTACACTGAACTTCCCTCCTCTCTGAGTGGGCCTTGCTCTGTCCAGGGGAGGTGTTAATGAGGTCTCGTTGTTTGACTCCCTCAGGTTACCTGAGGGGCTAAGTGCAGCCAGCCCTGAGGCTGAGGAGCATTCGCTTATAAGGTTGTATGTAAATCAGCTTGGGCACTGTGCACGGTCAGTATCCCAGCCCCGATCCGCTAACCATAGTGGTAGTTCCATAGCTAGACTACCGATCATTCTCCTCCATCACTAAATCTTCTTGTCGTACGTCTCAGTGGAGAGAGAGGTCTTCTGGGGGTTCAAGAGAGTCCATTGAGAATTTCCAACTTGAGCTGGACTTCTCAGCTCTTTCCTCTCTTTTCCACTTATTTTATTGATCTCATGCCTCACACCAGTATAGGTCAGATACTCATCTGTGATGAGTACCAAGCGGATTTTCTTCTCTGGATGACTCTGTTTTTGCATAACCCCAGGTGGTGATTTCTTAGACTTTTAATGAAAGTGCCTCTTGGAATGATCATTAGCACTAACTGGGTCAGGCCAGACAACGCCACGGAGCTGGGCCATAGTGTAGTGAAAGACTTGAGGGCTTATATCTTTCTGTCCCACTGGGCCATTTTTCCCCCAAAGAGAGCAATCTAATTCTTATTGAAGTAGAATTTCAAAACCAATTTCAAACTATCAGTGCTTAATTTCTATCACTGCATCATGCTAGTGGTGATCCACTGTTTATTTCTTAACCATGTCTACACCCCAAAATTGATAGAAACCCATAAAGCCAAGTGTAGGCATATGTTAAAGGTCCTATTCTTCCTATGATTGGAATGGAACCAAATAAATGTAACCTAGAGCCCTGCCCTCACTCCTACTCCACCCCAACTTCCCCTCTTAAAATCAGATAAAACCTAAAGAAGCCAAGAATGTGCTGATCTATGTTAAGAAAGTAGGGAAGTTTGCCATGCAGATATTTTATTTAGCCTGAGTTTTCAGTCTTCTGTGACAGATCTTAGAAAGATAAAGCAAAATGAAGATGAATTGAAATCACCCTTCAGAATTCTCGCCATAAACTCCTGGCATTACTCAACCTGGAGGCCTTTACAAGCATTCCACTTTGATCTTCAAAGGGCACGAGGGCGTATCTTTGAAGTCTTCTGACATCCGGGTGATCTGACTCACACAGATTTATGAGTGTATAACTCTGGTTACCACCGCCATCTGCTGTATCCTCTCTTCTTATATCCACTTCCAGTTATATCCTCGATTCACTTTTCCCTTAAAAGAAAAGAGGAAATCTCAAAGGCACTCTCCTTAACCCTTTGAAGTCTGTGTGTGTGTGTGTGTGTGCGTGTGTGTGTGCGCGCGCGATGCTGGTTAGCAATTAGGTAGAATGTAGAATGTGGTTCAAATAACATAATTCACCTCATTCATTTCCTTGATCATAACTTTATCCCTAAACCTAGATTATTTTCTTATAAATGCATTAATTATAGGAAAAAAATGGCTGGATCAATGGAAATCTATCATCACCACTAGAAAAAGAGCTCCAAGAGCTATGTATGGTGGGGCAGCAAAATTATATAAGCTTATGAAATCTATCTCATCACTGTTGCAAATATCATTACTGACCTAGAGCCAGGCCCAAAAGACCCTTTCCTCCCATCACTGCCCACAGCATTGTGCCTCTGAACACTTGCCGTCTTTGTTGGTATCATGCCCCCTTTGTAAAATCTTAATTATCCAGCCAAAATTCTTTGCCCAGGTTATTTGAGAAACTTACCTAGGATTTTTCTGTAAAATACATGCATTGAATTATGGCTGTCTTCTTCATTAGCCACAGTAGGACACTCTGAATGTTTAAATAGCTAGATTCTTCTACCCTCGGTATCACAAATACCTTGTATAAGCTTTCTGCTATAGATGCAATCTCTATAACAGAAGCCACTCAGAAAAGGAATCACGTTAGTTGTGATCTACAGCTCAGCCGGATCTTGTCACTCTTCCAAACGTTAGAAAATTGCTTGAGTCACAGAGTGCGTTGAACACAATCAGATATGCTGTTTTCTGGTTTGTCACAATAACATTTGGCCAGTTACTTAATATTGCATTAGGCTCAGTGGTGCAGATGGGGAAGCCACCCCCCACCCCTCCTAAGTGCTTCCCAAACCCTGATTGTTCCCTGTGGGCAGCCTGTGTGAGTTATTTCTGTTGGTTGAATGGTTGGCCAGTTGGTTGATTGGTTTACGTGTTCAACCAAAGAAAGGTTAATTACTGTGGCTTCTTCGGTTTTTTCAAACACTTTGCTTAACCAAAGATTCTTTACCAAACCACCCAGATTATTAACCTAACTAAAAATGTTCAAACTAAATTTTAAGCATCTGTACTTTGGTAATCAAAAGTGAATAGAAATAAAATTGAGGTACTCAATTCAGCCTTTGATCTAAAAATTAAAGTTTTCTTCAGGGTTATTTTTTTTTTAAGATTAAAGCTCATCCTTTTCAGTAAGAAAAAAATAGATAAATTTATAAATCAACATCCTATAACAGATGAACTTATAAATTAACTGACGAGGATTTCTTTACTCTTTTCACACTTTCTGGGCATGTTGTATGAAATTTGAAGAAAAATCACTCTCTGCTGATATTTCTTTATCCCATGTAGCCGCAGAGCTCCACTAATATGCTAGACTTTTCAAACTTGAATAGGCCAGTCTTCCCACTCAGCTCTCTTTCCTATGCTAAAATGTTGGTGCATAATTAAAACTGTTGTCATCCCTCTTCTTCACTCCAACCACTTTTATTCTCTTAATGAAGTTGCTTTCGTTGTTGCCTGTGCATGGCCTGTACCCAGAAAACTTCTAGAGACTGTCTTGGTAAAAGTACAATTGATATGGTTTGATGCTGTCTGGGGAAAACATAGTAAATGTAGTGAATCCAATGTAAGCCAAGAATTCTTAGTGTTTCTTCCATAGTACCTGCTTAGGATGGTTTGACTTTCATGCCAGCTTGATGACAATCACCCCACTAGACACTAAATTTTTTCATGCTTGTTTGCTGTTGTGCATGTGGCAGATATTACACTTCAGATCAAAGATGCTGAAAGCAAGAACAGGAAACGGGAAGACAATTTTTCAAGAGAATAGCTCCCAACAAAACTGACTTGTGGTCCCTTTTGTATTCTACCTAAACTGTGTAGATGACAGTGAGAAGCAAAATTTTATTCACACTGAGAGTTACTTAAGGAAGGAGCCAACTTTACAGGTTATTCCTCACAAGTCCAAACACCACACAAGTTTATCAGTTATTTGAAATCAATACAAATGAAAATGTTTTAATTTGCCATGGTTCAATATCATTTTCCTGTTAACCACTGTGATCATGATCGTTGCACATAACATTTATGCCTATAATGCTGCTGCTCCGTGAGACTGCATCCAGGACTTTCATTTCAATTCTTTCATTTTCACACTCAATAAAAGAAAAAATATCTTTGACCAGGGCTAAAATAGTAATCCAACATAAGCAGAGGTGGTTCTTAAAAATATATATATTGCAAAATATATATATATATTGCAAATATATATATATTTATATATATAATATATATATATATATATTTTGCAGGTTGAAACAAAAACCCAAGGAGCTTTTGTGTATAGTTCTGTTATCTAGAACCAAAAAAAAAATGTTTACACTTGAGCAAAACTACTGGTGTCAGTTGTCACCCTTCAAATGTAAAGGGTGAATTTAAGTAAATATGAAATTTTTTACATGCAATAGTTTACATTAATTTTTTACATTAATAGTTTAAGAAAAATGATCTTAAGCATACTAATACATGCAATAAACATTAATATCTCAAGAAAAAGGATTTTAAATATAATGTTACATGCATTAAACAATTATTCAAGAAAAATGATCTTAAATCTAATAATATTACATGCAATAAATATTAATATTTCCAAAAAAAGGATTTTAAGTATAATAATAATATTACCAAAACTGTACTAACATAGTATGGTATCACAAAAGTTGTAGGAAGTATTAAAATTCTGCAAATAACAGGATTATGTCTATTTGAAATATTTTTAAGTTGCTCTATCCTTCCAAAACCAGTGTGTGTGCACATGGGGGGGAGGGGGAATTTATCTTTATATATACTATTTTCCAAAGGTCTAAAAGGGAATTGGTGAGAAAATAGAGAATATTTTATAAAGAAAATATAGTCTAAAGGAATATTTCTGCCTCCTTTTTTCAGCAGAACACATAATCTTCAAAACGCACCTTCTCACACCCTCCAGGGCATGATTGTCACTTCACTCATTACTGATAATATGTGTGCAAAGGGATGTGCCTATACATTGGCAAGGGCCTGGTGAAAAGAAAATGACCCCAATAAGAAAATACATACAGATTTAGAGATAGCAGTCTTGCTTCTCCTGGGAGCTCAGATTAGGAAAAAATGTACCACCTATGACCAAGGGTAGCCTCAGGCAGTTCCCAGTTTCAGAGCTTAAAGAAAGAATGCATTTAGATTTGAAGACCGGGCATGTAGATGACAGAAGCTTATGGAACTAGGTTGACATGAAAGCCATTGCTGCATTCTGACACACGGACGTGGCAGAAGCGTTCATTTCTTGGTAAGAACACAGCTCGTGTGCTTGATCCCAAAGCCCGAGATGAGTTGGACATATCACCTGACTTCTCCAAGCAAGCTGCGGAGCTACAAAGGGAAAGTTTAAAAATCCAAAGTATTCTGTACAATATCGTGAGCAGCCGTTGCTTTGAAGAGATCATCATAAACTACACATTGTCACTAGTCTCACAACTCAGGAGGAGAAGTTTTCACATTGCCTCTTTCTTCAAACGCCTCAGGAGCTGCAAAAGGAACTCTGGTGAAGGCACTTCAATGTGAAGAGTCTTTACAGACCCAAGTTTTATGTGAAACCTGCTTCCCCATCAACTCTCTAAGTCCCCGATCCATTTCATTTTGAAAGAGTACTTGGTTTTGGTTTTGATTTGTTTTACTCATGCACTTGACTTCCTCTCTACCTGGTCATCATTTCGGCTTCCCAGAAATAAGTCATGAGGAGCAGAATGTAAGCCTAGTTTTTGGAAGTACAGAAACTCTGTGGGCAGTGAGTACCAAAACTCAGAAGTACTCCTGGTGCTAAGAGCTGTAGCAAAACAAAATAGTTTCTTTCCACAAACTCATAAATACCGATAGTGTCATCCCCATATTTTCCAAGAACTGATTCCCAAGAATTCATGTGGGAAGGAAAAGGAGCATGAAAGGACTTAAGCCAACCCGGGCATGGGCCAATGAAAAGAAAATGACAAAAAGAAGGAAAGATGAGTGTATACAGAGAACACCTGCTCATCCCCTTGCCGGGAGAAGGGACCTGGGAAGAAGAAGAAAAAGAAGAGAAGAAGGGAGATAGATAAATGGAGTAGAGGAGGGAGAGAAGGACCCAAAGAGTTAGAAGGAAAGAATAAGGCCACGAACAGAAAACCTGGCCTACCGCTCTCTTCCTGGGCCTGGCCCTGCACATACTGATGTCAGCCAGACTCCTCCAGAGCTAGTACTGGTGTCACGTGGTGGGACGGGCTTTATGGACACATCACCTTCCCCCCATAAGATTCACCAGAGTCGTTTGTAGCAAACACATCCCCTGATAGACCCTCCTGTATTTATTTTCTCTGCTGGTCCTTTCTTTCTTCTTGCACATTCAATATCAGAAGTTGTACCCAGGGGATTATAATTAAGCTTGTGATTTAGCAGATATCCCCACAATTTCTGGGAGTCAAGGGGCAGGAAAGCATAACAAGACAGGGAAATCACTGATTTACCACACAGTGTTTTGAGTGGTTTTGCAAGAACCTGAGATTAATTATATAGTAGGTACATCAATCTTGAGTTACAAAAAAGAAAGTTGGGGGAGGTACTTGGGCAGCAGGGAGACGGTAGTTATGGGAAAATGAACATAAAGGGATATGCTTCAGGAGACCAGGTTTGGGGTGCTGTTTTGGTGGGATGAGGGGAAACACCAGCTATCATGGCTTAAAGTGGCTGTTTGGCCCTGACAGGCAGTTTCATAGTCTTAGAAGGTGGAGATTAGTATGCTGAAAAAAATGTAAGTTCATCCGGAAGATACATTCTCCTAGAACATTAATCATTTCCTTTTTAAAGTCAGTTTTGTGTGCACTTGTACTTTGTGTAATACTTTGTGTAATTGGGGATTTCTGAAACCCTCTATGTCAGTGATGGCGAACCTATGACACGCGAACTCATTTTTTGGTTGATTTTTTCTTTGTTAAATGGCATTTAAATATATAAAATAAATATCAAAAATATAAGTCTTTGTTTTACTACGGTTGCAAATATCAAAAAATTTCTATATGTGACACAGCACCAGAGTTAAGTTAGGGTTTTTCAAAATGCTGACACGCCGAGCTCAAAAGGTTCACCATCACTGCTCTATGTGGTGCTTAAAGTACAAAGCACTTCTAATAAGACTGCAATCTCGGTAATTTTCAACTTTCTGTTCAACACAGAAAGTTGGAGAATATAGGGAAGACTGCAGAAGTAAACTTCCTGACTGAGGTATAAAGGCTGGCAGGAGGTAGCAAACCATTGGGCTGTTTACATGATCGTCTGTCATGAACGCTGAATGAATTTCCATTCTGTCCAGGCACAATGCAATCTATTTGTTAAGCAAGGAGCAGAGGTCAAATCTGGGATCATGGTGGTTTGTGCAATTGTAAGAATGGTTCTCAGGCCAGGTTTCTACTCCTAGTTCAACTCTGTGGAGATGTGAAACATCTTGAACATTTCAAAAGAATAAGAGAGCTGTCCAAATGGAGCTTGGCTCCACCGGTAGACTTGGGCGTTTCTGTCGCCAGTTCTATTCTTGAATGCAATGCCGTGTTTACCTTCTTCTTGGCTTTCCCGTCTTATTAACTAGCTCTCCTCCCAAGGACAGTGAAGTAGAGCAGAACAAACTGCTGGCTAGGGCTGCTCCGGCTTTTCTGAAGGGCAAAGGGTAAGTTAAAGCCCGAGTATACTGGAATCTGGAATTGACTGCACGAAAAAATGGAGATTTCTTCTGTCAACATGCTTTGTGTTTGAAAGACCATGTTTGATTTAGTAAAAAGCAGCTCCGTTATAACTCCATTAACAGCACCAAGTAGTGATTTTGAGTAGAAACGTCTGTGTTGTTCACTTTCCCTGACGTCCTTTTCTTTTTTTAAATGACTAAGCTTCAGGTTTGATTCTCCAAAGGCTACTTAATCTTTGTTTGCAGTGTGTTTACCGTCCAGCTGAATTCCTTGGCCTGGGTGGTGTGAAGATTGCAAATCTGTTTTCTGGCAGCCTGTATTTTTCAAGTTGGTGAAATGCAATCGTGGATTTCATTGCTTGGATTCTGCTTGTGTTTTGCATAGGACAGCCCTTGCTTTTCCTCTACTTGTTTGGTTTCCCCAATGCCTTTTCCCCACCCGCACGCACAAACACACTCCTACCTGCTCTGCTTCTTTCTGCCCGCCTCTCCTAACACCCTCTCTCCTCCTGCCCTGTTCCAGGATACAGTACAGCCTGAATGTGGCAGACAGGCTGGCTGATGAACATGTGCTCATCGGGTTGTATGTCAACATGCTCCGGAGCAACCCCTCATGGTTAGTGCAGCTTTGGCTGCTTGGCTGCCCTTAGAGAGGGACACGGTCCCGTCTCTTGACCAGCAGTCTCAGCAGGGGGAGGTCACTGATGCCAGAGGTGTCCCTCAGGCACTTTTTAACGGATTCCATGAAAATGCCTTCTGTAATGTTATTTTGGATATTTCCCACTAATGTGCCATAGAATTATATGTTAGCCGAAGGGACAACGTGTACAAATGGTTCCATGCTAAGGATCAGCTCAGGTGGGTGCAGGGATGTGGGTCCCACAGTCGGTTCTGTGTTACAAGTGCCACGTCAGAGAACCACACAAGGGTGATGCAGGAATTTGTCCTATTGCAAGCACAGGTACGTCCCTGATGACATGTGAAAAAGAGGAAGTTATGGGATGAGGCCATACCCTGGAAATCATTTCCTTAACAGTGATTGTCTTTCGACTTTTCTCTGCCTCACAAATGTTTCTGGGTAGCCATCAGATAAAGCCTGCTTTCCAGTCCCTGAATATGCCAAGCTTACTTTCAGATGTGTGACATGTATGGATTCAGGTAGCTCCACATATTGGGGTGAAGACATTCGTCAAGCTTTTCTCTTCCTATTTTTATTGTGACGTGAGAGATTCCTCCCATTGATTAGTTACTTTGTTTTAATAATAATTGTACATTTTCAATTTGAATGAAAATATATGGACAAACTATATAAATATCATATATTTCAGGTTGGTTTAAGCCACTATTTTACAAGCATGTTTAGCAAACCAGTTCCTTAGAAATATTTTAATTTTGCTTAATAATTCTAATATCCTCTGAACTAAGGACCCATGGATTTTTTTATAGTTGTAAATTTTAAGTGAGCCAATGGGTTAAACTTCCTTTTAATTAGCTGGTCCCCCTTTTCACTACTATGTCTCAGAAAGCATACCATGAACACTTGATGCTCATTGCATCATCACTCAGTATTATTAGCCACTTCTTTGTTTCTAGAACATTCTTCCCTTGACTATTTCCAAAGTTATTTCCTATTCCTGCTTCTGATGCCTTAGAATCATTTCTTTGCATAATTAGTGTATGAGATAATTTTAACCGGAATTGTATCCGGAATTATTTAGTCTGCCTGCTTCTGATGCCTTCGAATCATTTCTTTGCATAATTAGTGTATGAGATAATTTTAAGTGATTCATTGATGAGCATGTATTTAATGGCTACATATTTATCTTAATTTGAATTTTTATAAATATGACCGGCATATTAGTTTAATTTTACTCTTTTAGGAAATAAAAATGGACTCTCCTGCTAAGCCCATGTCTTTGTTCAAGTTTTTCCAAGCTTGTAGATCAAACAGTTTCCCCTCTTTCCCACATCTCAGCCTCTCAAAACTATAGGAGGAAAGAGAGATTGCTTTAATCTTATTCCCAATGAGTTTGGTTCCCCCATGGTATATGGTGGCTGAAGCAGTGAAAGTAAAAATACAGAATTACAAAAGGAAATAAGTTGTATGAGTAATCTTTACAGAAGAATGCAGTCGCTAAAGATTTAATCGTGTCTGAAGGCAGTGATGTGATCTCACACCGAGTCCTCTCCTCATGGTTCTAAGGACACTCTGGTTATTTCTACCACTTTCCTTTGACCTTTTCTTCATGAAAGTTGTAACGGAGAAGCCTCCGAGAGGAGAGCTCAGAGAGTGTTACCAGCAGCCTCTTCCCCACTCAAGTGATTAATCACAGTGACTTGATGGCCACTTAAGACCGTAAAACTGTCTCGGCAGAGACTCCATGTGTCCCCTTGAGGAAAGCTAGGTGTGACTTGTATTTTGAAAACAAAGCAGAATTTAAGACCGATCCATGAAGCCAACTCCATTTTAATGGCTGCTGCCCCCATATTTCTCATGGTTTCTTTCTGTCCTTAAAAAATTCCAACTTATCTTTCAAATTTATCATTCTTCCTTCTGTTTCCTTTCTGTTTAATTAGCTCCTTACAATTCCCCACACCGACCACGATTACATGAGTACTGTTAGTGATCTCTCACCTCCTTTATCATCATTATAGCTATAATTTTTACCATCATTCAATTATGGTGAGCTATATAATGGTAATAATCGAAGAGATGCCGTTTTTTTTAAAGCACTTGCCTCAGGCTAAGCTGTTAAAAGCTTTATTTATGTAATATTGCATAAATGACATAATCATACACAAATTACATAATAGTACATGTATTATTTACATACTTTATAATTATATAAATTATTTACATTATAATTACATAAATTAATCACATAATTATTTGCATAATTTCCTCTAGCCCTTAAAGCAAGCCTATAGAGTAAATGCTATCGTCCCTCCTTTATAGAGAAGTAACGGTAGCAATTATGAGAGTTACAGGACTCTGCAGTCACATGGCCACTGAACAGTGAGTGGAGCAGGGATTTTGGTCATTAGCAACTTGAGTCCAAGCTCATAACCACTAGGATATACTGCCTCTTATGAACCTACATCTACGTGTGCCCTCCAAAAAGCTTTCCTGGACAGTCAGTCCTCCACACTGCGTCCCCACACATCTATTTCCTAAAATCACATATCCCACTGTGTTACTTCATTGTACTTTCACAGATATTTTGAGCACATCGTGATAACAAGAATGGTAGCTGGTAGCGTGTATGTATTTAGTTCTCTGCCTTGTGATTGCTCATTTTGATCGTAAGCTTCAAAGGGGCAAGAGTTCAGTCTCTTGTATCTCACCACAGCACCTGAATATGAATAATTGTACATTTATGAAGAGCTTCAAAAATTACGGAGCCCTCACCCACACATCGTTTGGCTCGCTTGTCGAAGCCCTTTAAGTGTAGACCTTATTACTTTCATTTCACTGATAAGAAAATGTAAGCTCTGAGACAGGAAGTGACTTATCCACAGTCACATGCTAGCAAGGGCTTGCACACGGGGCTTCTGACACAAGATCCCTTCCATGTTCCAGTCATTGCTCGGCCTCCCTGTTTGTGCCTCTTTCATGAGATGGTCTACAAATAGGAACCTAAGAGCTGTTGAGAGGCCTTTACACTAATTCAGGCAAAGATGACTGTGGCCTGGAGCACATCGGTGACAGCTGGAATAGAAGGAAGTGGAGGAACTTGCAGTTTGTAGAAGATAGAATGTAGGGCCTTGTCCATGATTATGACATAGTGGGTTGTTAAGGTCTCAATAAAGGCGTTGGAAGGCACCCCTATAAAGAAGCCATTCTTATGCAGATTTTATTATTATTATCCATGAAGATTGCCACTTTATGATTTCCTGTACTTTCCTTTTAAACCTGTCTGTAAAGTGCCAACAGTTGAAGCATTGAGAGTTCCTTCGTTTCCCTCCTCAATCCTCAGTCCCATAAAATCACTTCCTGGACCCCAGTATCACTTCATTCTTTTCCGCCCTGACTTCTGCTCACTGACTCCTGGCGGCCTGAACATGGCTCTATGTAGTGTTTTGCTCTCAACCAACTGCAAAACATGGGCCATAACCTCCTAAAGCAGTCCTCCACTGGGCGTTAACTGACCGTGCTTTCTTAGGCAATAATCCTCCTGTTAGCCATTTCCATTTAATAGAAGGTAGTACCTGAGGCGTAATGACCTTAAAAATTAAATTCCCATCATCATTTCAACAAATGGAAACAATGTTAGGGGAAAACATACCACTTAGTCTGGTGGCCTTTGGGTGACATTATTTGGTTGACTTTCCCACACTGGCAGTCAGAACAAGACTGCAGAGAAACAAACCAAAAATGTGAATAAACCCTGAGTTCCCAGAAATCTTTGCTAAATCACAATTTACTAAGCCATCGCTTAGCTGGGCCACTTGAGTGTCCTAGAGTGCCATTTTCAACCACTAGCAGCAGCCACTGGCCATGTATTTAAGGTAGATGCTGGAGAGCTTTCAAAATAATAGATTTTCCCATTCAAGATTCAGTCTACAGAGCAGCCCCTTTTTAATTCATCATAGTCTTGTAGCAAGATTACTGATTCTAAAGTCTTGAAATGAATAGCCAGGGATGGAGCAAGTGTTGGAATCCATATTTCTTTAATGATTTAGGGATTATTGGCTATTCATTTTCAACCATTTGTAATTGAAGTCTTGAAATAATGGAATTTATCAGAGAAATGCCTCATTCGCTCTTGTATAATTTGAACCTACAGAAATGGCACATGTGGACTCATAAATCCTTTGTGTGCACAAAGGGGAAATATATCACTCCACCCCTCTTTTGGTCAGTGCTGGGGAGGAAAAGTATGGAGGATGAATTATAGCTTACTCAGCCAAATCCCATAATTTCACATCTTACATTTCCAGGAGGCTTTTTTATGTAACCTTCCTATTGTTCATACCTACTTGCTGGCCATTCATAATAAAAGACACTTGGATTGTGAGGGGTTTTTATCAAGGTTTTCTATTATTTATTTACCAGAACACTCACAAATGTTTTTGACAAAGTCACTTTCAGGCCATCAAGCACATCGTCGCCCTGGGCTTGGAGCAATGGGACCGGTTCTCTACACAGTGTTCAAGTAGTTTACGGTCACTGGTGCACCAGCCAGAAATGACACACATGTTAAAATCCAATTAAATTGCTTCTTTGTGGGTAGTTTTATGTTTAAAGCAAAGGCAGTGGAACTTCCTTTCTCATTAAAGCTGCAACGAGAAGTTCAGTTATTGCTTTTAGCCACTGCGGAGTGCACATACCGCATTATAAAGACAAACGTCGGCTTTACAGCATCAGTTTTCCAAAACTAACTCCTTTCGCTTTGAAAGTATTTTCTTACTGCAAGTCTTTTGTATGCTAATTAAAATGTCAATCCACGGGGATCAATACTATACCTATGTCAACCTGAAATCCTAAAATTTCCTGTCATAAGGGAATGTTTGGAAAATATCACACGTACTACATGGCTATCAGTTAAATGCTCATGAAAAATGATCTATTTTATATACTTTAGATGTTCCATCTTATTTTCAAGATCTTCTAGGTCCTTGCTTCTCAAAGTGTCCTTGGACCAGCAATACCAGAGGATCTCAGAAGCTTGTTATAAATGCAGATTCTCGGGTCCCTGCCCACAGGGAGGGGACTGTGGCTCAAGAGGATTTTCATGAGGTTGCCATCAAGCTGTTGGCTGGGGCTGTGATCTCATCTGAAGGTTCTGCACATGTGAATTCATTCACAAGATGCTTGGCTCCGGTGCCTTATGACATGGGCCTTTCCATAGGCCACCGGATGGCATGGCAGTGAGCTTCCCACAGAGCAAGCAATCCAAAAGGGCTCAGAGAGGGAAAACGTGCCCCAGATGGAAGCCATGGTCTTTTGTAACCTAACCTTGGAAGTGACATTCCAGGACTCTGCCATATTTTATATTGTATTCCATGGAAGCAAGCCAGAAAGTCCAGCCCATACTAAAGGGAGGGGCTTACACACAAGAGTGAATACCAGGAAATGGGGGATCACTACAGGCTGACCACAGTTGTTTGCTTTTTTTTTTTTTAATCTAGCTTCCATATTTTCTAACAGGCCTATTTGGTACATGTATTACTTGTGTGATGAGGAAATAAAAATATCAAAAGCAATAAAATTAAAGAGAAAATATCCTTTCATGAGAAATGTTCATCAGAACCATCACTCCTCTCTGGAGCTTTCATAGTAAGACAATTGCAGTGAGTGGGACAGGATTTATTAGTGACCTTCCAGGCCACATACTAAATGCATGTTATGGATTCATGCTATAAATCCAAGTCTGAGATCATTAGCCTAACAGGATTTTATCTAGTTTTCAAATCTGTGCACTGAAACATTGAAATAGCAACACCCTTGGTGATAGGAATGCATACATCTTTCCCGTCGCCTAACAGTCTCCTCGCTCTGTTCTCAATAGTATGCTGGAGAGCTCAAACCGGCTTGATGAGGAACACAGGCTGATTGCCAGGTACGCGGCAAGACTGGCGGCAGAGTCCACTTCGTCTGTAAGTAGTGTGAGTGAGAGGATGTTGTGTTCATTGTCGATCCTATAGCTCAGGGGTGGGGAACGTCTGGCCTTCTATGACCCAGGAAGTCACTTGGTCTGGCCCTGCCAAGGCATTAGGGGTGAGTTAATTAAATGTTTGACCAAATATAGCAGGCTAATGTTTAAGCTGATAATCCTGTATGGCCCACGAATGGTGTTATAAATATCCAAATGGCCTTTGGCAGGAAAAGGTTCCCCACCCCTGCTTATAGATGGTGCTACAACTGCAGAGCTCAAGAGTTGCTACTGTGTTGTCTTCAAGACCTAAGAATGGTCTGGCCTCCCACTCCTTTCATCTTTTCCCTTCTCAGCTATCATTCTGGTACCAGAGATCGTAGCTTGAGTTACTCTGTTACGGCATTGCTAAGACCGCCTCACGCCTGATTTCTCTGGGTAATTCTGGGTCGCTTAATATAAAGAGCGAAGCAATGACCCCAAATAAGTTTCTACTTTTATCAATAATGTGTAAAATATGTATGAGAAAGAGAAAAGTATGCAATGAAGTCAGAAGAAAAACCTGGGTCACAGGTCAAAGCTGCCATGTGCGGACTTAGCTAGAGAAAGACATTCGGATATAAAACGTAGAATCTCAGACTTCTTCCTTAGCAACACAAATCGTTTCTCTTTATGTCTTTTTCTTAATTCTTTTTTTCAAATCATTTCTCTTTTAAAATAACTGCTAATTAAAAAATTATAGAGAAGCTTTTCAAAAGCCAGACATTTACCACACTTAACCTTTCCTACAATCACCCTTCTGGACGTTAAAAAGCAGGGTTAGGCAATGGGTGCCATGTTTAAAAGTTTGGCATTCTTTGGTAGAAAGATTTTTTTAATCGGTTTACAAGCAGTAAATATTGACATCAAGAAATTTCTACAATGTACTGTAGAGCAAAGAAAGCAAGACACAGTGACGTATACATAATCTAACCCTATTTTTTAAATGAGTGATTTTTATTCACATGAAATTATATCCCTCGGTTTCCAAAGTCCCATTTCCCTTCAACCAGTCCTGGAAGAGGTGCAGCTGGGGCTTCAGCACAGCTAGAAGCAAAGCAAGCCAGTGTCTGAAGTTTTTGGTCCACGGTGGAGCCGTGTCCACACAGCATTAAGCTAGTCCTCGCATTAATCCAGTGTGTGGAGCTCACATGGCTTCCCCTGCAACAAGAGTCTCAAGGGAGCTAGAGGCTGAGAGAGAGAATTCCCTTTGGTTAGGACTTAAGTATCTCAGACTTCAACCCCCAGTGACTCACTCTCAGGTGTGATTGACAGACAAGCACTTTCCCATGTCACCCAGACCTTCCTGGGCATGCATCTATTGTCCAGTCCCCTCCCCTGTCGACCTGCAGGGAACAGACCTGGAGAATCTGACCCTATTTTTATAGAACAATGGCAAATTAACCCTTGACTAAATGTGCGCACACACACACACACACACACACACACGGTATATTATGTGTGTGTATTTAATCATTGATTCATTTGTTTATAATATATAATTTGGTAGAAGTTAATTTGTATCTATATATACATGTATAATTTTATATATAATTTTATAAGAATGGAGAAAGTTATGACTGCATATACACCAATTGTTAAAGCTGGTTGCATGACACACACATATATATCAGAGTTAAATTACATGTAAAGAAATGCTAAAAGTATATTAACCAAAAGAAGAAGAAAAGAAAGTCATACTAACTATGATTTTAAAACGATGAAATTTCTAATTGCATATTACAGTGGTTGAACAGTAATTCTAGAAAAAGAATTATCTCAACAGTGAGTATTGGTTTGCCCACGTATACTAAGAGGATCGTTGCAATGGGAACAGCATGGCCAGAATAAAATAGCTCCCCAGAGACTTCAAATCAGAAAGCTCAAAAACAATTTTTTTATGTTCTGTGTATTTGCCTACCTAAGATTCTGTTCAGCTTTTCATTGCCTGGCTGTACTTCAGACCCACAGATCCTGGTCCTTGGGAGAGGAATGGCCATTTAATTTGTATATATTTGCCTTTTTTTGTTGGGATGGAAATCATTTCCTTTTTCTCAGCTGCATGTCTCACGATGGCTGTCTCCTCGATAGTGAACAGTGTGACCCTCTGTTTTGCAGCAGCCAGCGCAGCAGAGAGGCACTCCTGACATCTCCTTCACCATCGACGCGAACAAGCAGCAGCGGCAGCTCATCGCGGAGCTGGAGAACAAGAACCGGTAGGCCGCTCGGCCGCAGTGGCTTTTTGGTCCAAGTGCGCGCCCATTGACAACCCGCCGTCAAGCTTTAAAATGCTTCGGCTCTTCCCCCTGCGTGGATGTTTAAGGCCACGTTCTGAGAAGCCCCGGCTAGACCTGCCAGAGCAAGTACCAAAGACTGAGGGAGTCTGATGCATATGAGCTTCGGAGCTAACAAGCCCGGGTTCAGGCCACCTCCACCGCTAAGGTGCTATTGAACTTGGGCAAGTCCTTTCGCTGGTCTGTTCTTTGATGTCCGCATTCCTGAAACAGACAACAGTAGTAGCTGTATATAATAGCATGTTATGAGGGTTAAATAAAATACGGTTAAAGAAGGCAGCATAGTTCCTTGTAGACTAAGCACTCAGTTCTCCTTACATGTCTTACCATGATTTTTTCTTATCAGAGCTGCTCCTTCCTTGGGCTCCATGGCTCCGCCATGGTTCTAGCCTTAGAACCAACAAGGAGAACTAGGGAGAGTCCCAGAGTATCAGATGTTGGCCCTGGAGATCTTCACTCCGGCCACTGGTTTTCAGGCTGAGCTCGATGAGACGCTGGGGCCTCCGGAGAGGCGCCTGGAGAGGGGGGAGAAGGGCCAGGAGCACCCTTCCTCTCACCTACTGGGTTTCCACAGAATATTTCTCTTAAAGAAATGTCTTCACCATGGAGCACAAAGGGGAGCCAAAGAAAGGTTGAAGTCATAAATTTAACCTTTCCGAGAAGAAGCCACCCCCTGGCTCACCAAGTTCACCTCCGTTCTCGGTCCTTTGTTCTGTCTTACCGGCTGGTGTGCATTGTGTTGTCTGGGAGACCAGCCCCTCCCCCAAGAAGATGTGACTTGTTACCTTGCTAATGGCTTCCAGCTCACTTAGGGGTCGTTTGCCTCACATGGGTTGCCCATCCCTCATGGTCGGCCTGACGTTCACCTCAATGCAGGGCAGCCCCGGCCCCCACATCCATCCTAGACTGATGTGCCTCACCCCTGACAGAGGTCACGCCGAGAGCTCTCCTGTGTCACAGACGCAATTACAGTGAATCCTTTTAAACCCGCTTTCCCTCTAAGGTGACTCTCATTGGGATCCATTGTTAAGAAAAAGGGGGAGCTTTGCCTCACCGGGATCTTCTCAGATAACTTCGGTGAGAGCAGTGTCACTCCTGGCGAGTGAGTGGGGCATTTCGTTTTGTGAAATGAGCACCCTGTATTCCTAGTTCCCTTCCAAGCACCTCTGCCTGGAAGTTGCAGCCCCTTTATGGTGTCCATGGATCATAAAGAACAGGGAGGTACGTGTTGTCCCGTTAGCCGTGCACTTTTCAAAGCTGAGCTCATGCCCACGGCGTTATATGCCCTGCTAGAGGGAGAGTGGGTCCTGGTGAGAACGCTCAGCCTGGCTCCTCACAGCTGGCTGGACCCGAGAGGGAGTCGGAACCTCTCCACACGGCCCGCTAGCTCCAGCCATGCCTCATAAACACTGCTGGGTAATAGGGGGTTGGGGAGGTGCTGCCCAGAAAGGTAGAGCGACCCCTTCTTTGCGCCGGTGGCCCTGAGCTGCTCTGCCCAGGTGTGAGGTCCTGGGTGCGCTGAGCGTTGACTGACCCTGGCTCCTTACCTTCCTCCTCTCTCCCAAGAGAGATCTTACAGGAGATCCAGAGACTGCGGCTGGAGCATGAACAAGCCTCGCAGCCCACCCCGGAGAAGGCGCAGCAAAACCCCACGCTGCTGGCAGAGCTGCGGCTCCTCAGGTGAGAGGAGCCCACGGGCCTCAGGGCGACGGGGCCTGCGTCTTCTAAGGCCTGGCAGTGTAGCAGCGACTGGCCCTGCGCCACTTCTGACCCTCGTGTGTTTTTCATTGCGCTCACCTTATTGCTGAGATTTGGGGGTTTGAGGGAGAAGCTGTTTCTATTTCATTCCTTCATTTGATATAGAGAAAGGAAACCGTGCTTTAGGTCAAAAACAAAATCTCTTACTGGAAAAAAATTGAACTCAGATTTCTTGAGTTATTTGTACCCTCAACAGTGTGTTTATAATGCAAGTGATCAAAACATTTTTACACTTAAAAATGTGCCTGTAACCCATGAAAGGGAGTCTGGTTTTCTCTAAATCTGGTTCCCTAGTAGCTTTACTTAGAGATCTTAAAACACAGGCCTTCTTGTGCTGCAATAGAGTGTCAAGGCCTGGGCCCACCTCCGCTGTCATCATAAGCATTTGAGTTGGGAAGGACCTTAGGTCGTCCGGTTCAACCCCCCGAACCTCAGGTAGAAAGTAGCAGGAAGTGGGTGAGGACGTGGCTCCCCTTGCACCCGTGGGCGAAGGCAAGTCATGCCTGGGCTCCATGTCAAACTGGCTTCCCTCCCTGCCTTGAAGAGGGCACATGCTCAAGCCTATTTGTGTAGCAAACAAAACGAACATAAATTCAAAGGCATTCCCTCATAGAAATGTCACATTTCACAGGCACTTTCAGTTAGCAAGTGCAGCGCACTTTCCATCTTTCGGTTTGGGTGCCAAGTATTTCCTAGCTCTCGGGCGTGCTGTATAAGTACTAGTATAGTCACGTGCCACGTAGCGCTGTTTCAATGGACAGCAGACCGCATAGACGGTGGTGATCCCCTAAGTCTATAACGGAGCTGGAACATTCCCGTTGCCTAGTGATGTCGTAGCCGTCGTATCGTAGTGGCACAGTGCGTTGCTGCGGATGCTGGTGTCACCCAGCCTACTGAGCTGCCAGGCAGGTAAAAGTATAGCGCATACAACTATGTACAGTGCATAGTGCTTGATGATGATAAACGACCATGCTACCGCCTTATGTAGTTACAATACTATACTTTCTATCATTGTTTTAGCATAGACTCTTTCTACTTATAAAGAACAGTTTGCGGTAAAGCAGTGTGCCATGTTGTGCCAGCAGCAGCCTCACACAGCTGTGTTTGCTTTGTCTCTGGATGGCACCGTTTTGTCTTGTGCTTGACTTAATCTCACATTGCTTGGTACAGACAGGAACATGCTATGCAGGCGTGTAGCCTAGGAGCAGTAGGCGGTACCACATGGCCTAGGTGTGCTGGGTAGACCATCTAGGTCTGTGAGGTGCACTCTGTGATGTTCACACAACAAAGCCACCTCCTGTGCCTCTTTCAGAGCACTTCCCCATTGCTAAATGGGCCCTGATTGTGCCGATGCCTCTTTTCAGAACCCTTTGCCAGAACTAGACTCTCATTTACTTTCTCCATGTGAAGAGACTAAATGAAGCGGGTCCTGTTTGGCTCCGTTTTTTTTTTTTTTTACCAAATACCTCCTGATGGGAGTCATGGACGTTTCCGGGGGTTCCACTCTAACCCTGCTCTTCAGACATGTCAGCATCTGAGCACGGCAGCACCCCTGGCCCAGCCTGCAGGACCTGCCTGCCCTCGGCTGGGACCCATGCCCCTGGCTGGTGGGACCAGCCCTCCACAGGAAGCTAATCTGAGTTTTGGAAGGGAAATCTACAGAACCCGCATCTGGTGGGGCCGCTGCGGTCGCATCATACTTTAGAATAACTAAACAAGTTAACGGACGAAACGGGGATTCTTCCTTTTCAACCTTTTTGATTTCTGGTCTATCTTCAGAGAGATGGACTGGAAATTCTTGCACATTCTACCACACCATCCCCAGAAAGGGTGAAAGCGAAATGGACAAAGTGATGTTTCACATCCTCCTCCTCCTCAAAGACATATAAAAGGAATGACTGTTAGTAACTTTCACCAAATAGGATGGTGTAGGCCAGTGGTCAGCAAACTCATTAGTCCACAGAGCCAAATATCAACAGTACAACGATCGAAATTTCTTTTGAGAGCCAAATTTTTTAAACTTAAACTATATAGGTAGGTACATTGTTATTAACTTAATTAGGGTACTCCTAAGGCTTAGGAAGAGCCACACTCAAGGGGCCAAAGAGCCGCATATGGCTCGCGAGCCGCAGTTTGTCGACCACAGGTGTAGGCCCTCCAAGCTCACAAGTTGGAAATTACGTTGGATACATGCAGAAATATGACTGAGTAAAGCACTGTGGAAGCAGAGTGGTCCTTCATCTGCACATCTGAGTATGTTTCTCCACCTGAAAGGTCCTTTCTGCCTCTTCTGCTGGCTGTCCCATTCTCTAGTGGAGGGATGACGACTAGGCCTTTTTCATAAGCATTTTCATCAGTTCCCACCAGTGAGCATTTGCTTTCCAAGCTATTTGGTTCCATTTGGATCATCCAGGCTGGGAAGGCATCTTAATGTGCCTGGGTCACTGTTGATGAGTTTTCCAACTGACATTTATTCCCTCTGGTCCTGACTTGGTAATCCTATGGCCCCAGCTGAGCCTAGAGCTACACGAAGGAGTCTGGCTTGCAAGAGCCCATGTACCTCTGGCCCTCACTGTCAACTGGAGCCCCACACCTGAGGCCTGAGACACCTGACCCCAGCTGATTTGCTTTGCCTGCCTCCATATTCTAGCCCAGTGGTTCTCAGCCTTGGCTGCACATTAGAATCACCCGGGAATCTTTTTAAAATCCTGATTTCTGGGCCTCATCCTCTGGAAATTCTGTTCCTTTGTGATGGGGTGGGGCCACCACAATAGTAACAAAGAAACAGAATTTCTGGGGATGAGGCCCAGAAGTCAGGATTTTAAAAAGATTCCCAGGCGATTCTAATGTGCAGCCAAAGTGGAGAACCACTGCTCTATACATTTCTTCTGCCTGAAAGGAATACCCTACCTTTAAGAGTATTTCTCTAGCCTGGCAATGTGGCTCAGCGGTTGAGATTCAACCCATGAACCAAGAGATCACCAGTTCCATTCCAGATCAGGGCACATGCCCACCTTACGGGCTCAATCCCCAGTAGAGGGTGTGCAGGAGGCAGTTGATAGATGGTTCTCTCATCAATGTTTCTATCTCTCTATTCCTCTCCCTTCCTCTCTCTCTAACAGTCAATACAACCATATTTTAATAAAAGAATATTTCTCTAGGAACTTATAAACCACTTATTCTGTGCTAAGCTCTTTCACAATGCATGGATTTCACAGACACCCTGACGTCCCAGATTAAGAAACCCAGCTCCCAGTGTTCCAAGCTTTATTCTTTCATCATGTCCTATTTTGAAAGCACTCCAGGACAATGGCCTCTTGCATAGTTCCTTGGCCTTCGTTCACACTGCGGGGCAGCCAAGTGAAGCAGCCAGAGAAACGCCTTTTGGTGGCTCTGAGAGAGGCCTTCTCATTCCATTACCTCCTTCCTGGGCCCTTTGTTGAGAAACCAGCAGCACGAAGTTCTTTCAGCTCAGGGACGGGAGAGGGGAGAACGGAGCAGAGCTTTGCTCCTCGTGAAATCATAGTCTATTTTTTATCTTAAGAGCACGATGACCTTTCTAAACGATCATATTTTCCTTTTCGCTTTAGCCACAACAAAGCTGAAAGGCAAGGTTGCAAGCCAGAGCTAACCGCTAACCAAGATGATACGCTAGGCATTTCTGTGTGCTAACCCAACACTTCCTGTGCTCTCTG